GTTTCTAAGTGCACACATATTTGGAATGACCCCTACTTGACTGGGACATACCCAGCCAAATTTGATGATTCCAAGTGTGGGAAAACATTTTTTGAGCATCATGAAACATCTTTCCACACTTGGAATCATCAAATTTGGTTGGGTATGTCCCAGTCAACTGGGGGTCTCATCATGACTAGAGATGGTCGCTTTGCATCCGGATATCCGCTGATATCCGGATATCCGGACTTAATTTCAGCACATGTGCTTAGGTCTGCTGTTATTGAGATACGAAATAACGATATAGGCAATGCGGTCATACCTACTCATATCTTCTCTTTTAATTTTATTGTTCTTTTTATTCTTATATTTATTATTATATATATTTCATTTTTGTTTTTGTCTTTGTTTGTATCTGTGTTTTGAATTTCATTCTAATGTCTTGTCTTTCTATCTATATATGTTCTATGTTCATTGTTTTGCGTAGGGACTCTACCCGGTTTTATTTATGTATCAAGAAGGTCAGCACTTCATCAATCCTCAGCTCATATATTTCTTTACCAATACCATGCTTGTATCAACATCCTTCATATTGTTTTTATCACACATCACCCCATAACCTCAGCGCTTGATCTTGGACTCCTTGCTCATATTCTTACCTGCAAACAAAGTAACCCACCTGATCACCCATGGAATCGGACTTTTGCTGGAAATCTGATTGACTTCTAAAGACCATCGACTTCTCAAGATCATCGACTTCTCAAGACCATCGACTTCTCAAGACCATCGACTTCTCAAGACCATTGACTTCTCAAGACCATCGACTTCTCAAGACCATCGACATCTCAAGACCATCGACTTCTCAAGACCATCGACTTCTCAAGACCATCGACTTCTCAAGACCATCGACTTCTCAAGATCACCAAATTCTCAAAAGCTCCAAAACAAATTCATCATGGGCCGTGTTGGCAAGAGCAACCCGTTTGTCCATGAAACAGCTCAACAAAAGAAAAGGTGAATCGCACATTCTTCTCGACACCAAACCGATCTAGCGGTATTAGACTCTCTCCTGCGCGGCGAGCGAGTTCAATCATCAATTGCGGTCTCCACATCACCCAACCTTCCAAACAATGATTCGCATGACCATTCTACTCCTGATTTCGACCCACCAGATGAACCGTACCATGATTCCTCGCCTTACGATGAAAATCCTTTATCGACTTGGTCATCGATTCCATGGGATATCAGTATGGATACTACAGGCAACAACACGACCAACTCTCAGCTGCCCACAGTTAATGATGAAGATCTTGCTGCCCTCCGACATCATGACCGAAGGGTTGAATTTCAAACTCGAGCTAGTAATTGGGAAGGCGTTATGAACAAGATTTTCTCTGCATACCTATGGCTCAAGGAGAAGACCGACAATTGGACCACCGAGGCATCCTTCAAATCATACGACTCATGGTTCTGCAAATGCCAAGAACACGAAGTACGATCGAAGCAATGGATTGACCTGGTGGACCTTGCAGGTAAGTCAACTTGGGGGACCATCCTTTCTGTAACGATATTTTATTTATTGAAGCTCATAATTCCATTGTCATTCCAATACTCCAGGTCAGCAACGTGTGAAGTTTGAATTTTGCCGCTGTATGCCCAGGTCGGTGACACTTCTGGCAAATGGATTTCTACCAAGCTCGCCAATCAAACCAACCACTGGATTCTCGATGAGGTTGCTTGCATATCATGACTATGCGTGGAATCACTCAAACGTACGAATGGCACCATTTGCCGAAACCCAAAGAAAATTTAGTGAAGACAGATCCGAGGTGCTGTGGAATCGTCGCCAGACCAAGGTAGGCATCATACTTTCTTTGTTGCTTCTATTTTTGCGGCTTTGGTCTACAACCATCTGATAAAACATCATGTACACAGGGCCGTGATCTCCGAAGCTGCATGTCATCAGCTGTTTTGCTATATCGCGACCTTCTCAGCAGGAACGAAAATCTGATACAAACCATCCTGGGCCTAACCAAACAGCAGAAGATGGCACTTACAACCTGTCCCGCTTGCTTTGGGCCAAGCATGAGAACAGGTCTTCATCGACTTCCTTCGGTCGATAAACGGTTGATAATTTTGTTTGACGGTAACTTTCAGCACCGTCACCAGAAAAAGGCCGGTAGCGACCACATACCCCTGGTTACTCCGGATATCTTTATCCAGCCAAGCGAACTGGACGAAGTCTTAACATACATAACCCAGCAGGAGAAAGCTAAAAAGATTCCGAAGAAGGTTTGTGAATTTACTTCTTGACATTGAAATACAGCTCAATTAATGACAATATGTGGTGATTAGGCCGATCGGTGTACAGATTCTCACAAGGCCGCAAACGACAAGCGCAACGAGACAACTTGGAAAGCTTGTGACGACACAGGATTAATGGGATCCTGTTGCCGACATGATTCAGTAATTTATCTTGCAAATATCCATGGAACTGGTGAAACTCGGGCGCTTCCCTTATCAATTCTGAAACGCATCATGGACAACATCGATCCTGGGCGCCCTGTGAGCGTGCTGTATGATATCGGCTGTTCTTTGGATAAGTACATGAAATTGGTATGTAGCTAGCTGAATTTAGTGCTTTACATTCCCTAATTATTGATTTTCTTGATATTGTTCAGCGCGACATCTTCCCAGAATCACGCGGGCGAATGACCTTTGGAACTTCTGTGTTTCATGCGTATGTCCATGAGTGGCCATGCCAAGTGAAATACAACCCACGCTATCAAACGGGGTGGGGGCTATCTGATGGCGAGTCCTTGGAGCGCCTATGGTCTTCGCTGTCTCCCCAGGTCAGCCCCTTGAGATACGCTACAAGAAACAATCGCTTGGGGGCACTTGCCCATCGGTGCAAGTACCGCAACCAGGAAGGGATAATCAATTTAGGTAAGCTTTCAATATGCTCTCTTTTTAGCTAAAAACTGACTCATAGATCCTGTTTTGCAGCAAGATGGCTGTTGAAGAAATTTGAAAACGCCCTTATCCGCCGTGATGAAGAAAAGAAGATTATACTCGAATTATCGGTGATCCCCAATCCACATGTCAGCTACCCAGCAAACTACACAATCAATTTCTTTCGATCACAGTGGATGGATCAAGTTCGGATCGCATTGGAGCAGGAAGAAACTGAAGAAGAACTTGAAGGTAATAAAAACTTGGCTGAGTTTTTTGAAAATGAGGAAGTCTTGGAGAGTTGCCGGTAAGTTTCTTTTTGAGTTTTGATATCTAGTAAATGTACTAACATATAGTGATAGGGATCGTCTGAGATTGGGTCAATGGCCTCCAACACTGCTCCAGGCCAACGAAATGCTTGAAGGTATGCAGGCTCGCGAAGAGAATCAACACAAGCTAGCTGCAGCTTTAGGCAAGAGCTACGAAGATCTACGTGGAAAGCGAACTACTGAGCAGGGGATGTTGACACTGTTGTGGAAAGCGAAGACAGAACTTTACGAACAGGCTGTTGAACTTCAAGGGGAGAGGCTTCCTATCTTAAATACAAATTCAGGCAACATTCTCGGAACACGTTTAAAGGAGAGAATACTGGCTGCAATCAATCGGCGAAAAGGTCCAGTTGAGAAGGCAATCAAACTGTTTAACCAACGCCGAACCGAGTACCTGAAGAAATACGATCCAAACCGCCTAAACCAACCAGAGAACGCAGACCTCACATATGCGGCCTTTGAGAAGATGGACCTAGACGATCCTCTATGGAAAGACGGTCACTTCTATCATGCTCGGGCACCTTGGGCGACCGATCCTCTGGTCCGAAGCGGTATACGATCGGTCTTGGTTCTAGATCGAGTGGAGGAAGAGATTGAACTGCTGACCCAAGAGTTGGATAGGGCCATCACTTGGGCATATGAACACCACACATCATTAAAATCCACTCAAAGTCGCTTGGGTATGTATTTTTCACACTAGTATCATCTTTTAGAATCTGTATTGATCTTTTATTTGAAATAGATTTGGCTGCCACGGAGCCTATTGATCCAGAAAACGACTTCAAATCAATTCTGACATCCTTTCCTATCAAAAGCCGCCTACGATTGCTTCGTTCAGAAATCGATCGACAGTTACACATGCATGAAAAGTTGATGGTGGGATGGAAGGACAATGTTGAAACACTTTGGAGAAATACCCGCACATCACATACAGCTTCCCATCACCCCTGGTTTGACTTGATTGGGTGTATCCAAAGTGCGATGATCAGACACAATGTTGGTAGCATTAATGATGCTGTGGAGCGCATGGGCTTTGAAGAAGAAGAATCCAGCAGCGAGTGGGAAACTGAAACTGACGAACTTGATGACATTGGGGAAGTGAACGAGCAGGGGTAAATCCTGCAATATCCCCTGAATCAATATTTTGTATTACTTTTAGTCGCTACTGTCTCCATGTTTTCCTTTTAGTTTTGTATCTGTACAATTAAGATGACCAGTCACATTGCCTGTTTGTTACGTGCTACTTATTTATTTCCATGTCATACACGATACCATTTTTTTGTCTTTTACTGGTCTCTCCGCTGGACTAACTCTTGCATCCTCCAAATGGAAAATGAATCAACTCAATTTGAAACTCAAGTTTTAATCATATGAGTCGTTCTCTTTTGAATTGCAGAGACTCTCGACTGCAGTGAGTTGTTAGGTGAGGGGACACGATTATATCAGGTTTCATAAGCACATCAACACTGTGCTTTGTTCTTTGGGGGATCGTTTCTGATAATGGATGACAAACAAGAAAAAACGATAAACTAGCAGTTATGTACAGGTTTTTTGTTGTGATCGTATATAAGGGTAATAAGGGTAGTTACTAAGGGTAGTTGTGTGATGAGTGTTACATGTGTGTAAGGCTCGTCTCGGTTCAAGGGTGACAGGGGGGGGGGAGCGAGCTGAGGTGGGACTTGGCTGAATCGGAGGACTTGGTCGAGTGTGGAGGGGGGAAGGGGGATAGAAGAGGAGCGAATTGGCGAAGTTCGCGAAGTTCTACTTTTTGCGGCAGTCCACCCTCGCAGGGACCTCTCTCGCGCGGGCTGGACATATGCTTTATAGGGGTTTTATGGGGACATGTCAGGTGCGGATCAGGTTATGTGTGAAGCCATGCCGTGTGTTTGTACAAGGTACATAACCTTCCTCAATTGTGTGTGCGATTTGGCGCTCAAGGACCGGAATAGAAGTTACTCCAATGTACTTCTTGTGCCACCGCAGTGTATACATATCTGCTTCCGAGCACGAGACAGGAGCCCAAGCCACATGTCGGCTCCTGTCGGTTTTCAAGGTTGGAGAATACACAACACGGAGGGCAGAGTGCCAGAGCTGCACACTGATTGTAGAGGGGCCTAACAGAACTCTCCTGGCGGGAGGTTCACCGGTGTGAGCACTGACATCCGTCCCTCCGGCTCCCTGCGGTCGGCGGGGGCTCAGTGTAGTGACTCAGAGGGTGATAATCGTATGTATTCCGGTAGGTGTGGCCTGGAGGAGACGGATGTAGTCTCCTCCGGCTGGCTGAGCCGCAGCCGAGTCACAACACTCAGTGATCGGTCATCCTCGCCCACCGCATATGGGCTAGCTTAACAACAACCCCCTAATTCGCCGGGCCAGGTAATGCCAGGTAATGCCTGGCTGACGCGAAGCGAGCCTCTGAAGGCGCCCCCGGCGCGCCGGTCCCCCGGCCCCTGAAACGAGGGGATTGTACTACTAGGCATTTGGGTAGGAGCTTGAAAAGTTAGCAGAGGGAGCCGGTGGGACAACTTGAAGATGACATACAGAGGGAAGCCGGAGGATCGACGGGAAAAGGACACTTGTTGTCCGGAAAGCCATCCTTCAGCAGTCGACTAACTTAACTAAGTCCCTTCCCTCCCTGGTCGGAGTGGTAAACCACTTGTCGCATTGCGCCGACCGGAGGGAGGGACTTACGAGCAAGGTCCACCCCGCGGCCCAAGAGCATTAAGGATTTTGGTGGGGGGTTTTTTAGAATCAATCTCTCACAAATTTGGTTGATTCTTTTTCCTCTAGTTTTCACTTGGGGGTTCTTTCAAGCTGTCCCCATCTATGTACTAATTTTACTAATGGTAAACACATCTCCTTCATCAATGATGTTAGAGCAGTCGATTTCTGTAATGTACCAGTTGCGCAAGACACTTGATTCAGATTGTCTGCTACCCTCACACATTTTCGCCATCCCAGCGCCCCGTCTTTCATCAGCCACTTCAATTGAACACTTGGAGACCACAAGCAAATCACGCCTTTTTACAATTAACAAGCACTCGGTTATCTCGCATCCTACCAGACCAGCTGGCCGACTGGCTCTACTTCTTTGTTCTGTTTGCCGAACTTGGCACACCAGCCTGCGCTGGATTCCAATCTCCATATTCAATTTCCATAGCCGTCATCAGCGTGCAGCACTAGCAGCCCTCGGCCATCACCTTTAACCAACCCACAAAATCGGGATTCTCCCCCGATGGCACTCGCATTTTTGAGCGCACCAGCCCTGCCAGGACTTTGGGGCTTCGGCGAGGCCGCCGAGGCATCGCATCACTCCAAGCCCTGGCCGGAATCGATGAGTGCTGAGGCAGTTATCAAAAGCAATGATTGCGGGGGTGATGTCGTTCTGGCTCAGTTGGGCGCACATCTATGTCATCGGAGGAAATACATTTCACTCGCACAAGAGCGGTGTTGAAGTTGAGCTCCAAGAGGAAGGATCATCGTCATTTGTTGTTTGATTTTGGCACTGAGAAACTGCAAGTAATCTTGGGACAGAAAGTCTGCCTCAGTGATGGAGTCCCGTCCCTTATGCAACTTGAGAATCGGCCAAGGCTTTGATCATAAACGATGTGGGCGGTACTTTGAGCTGAAATAGTTCATCTACATTTGTAGGATACATCCATAGTCGCCAGCCAAAAACGAAATGCAAAAAGATGCGGATGCAATGGCGGCCCCTCGATGACCGCCTCCATACACAGCCATTGGGCAAGCCTTCACGATAAATGGGCGATGGTTGGCTTCAGCTTTCTCTTGCTCATCGTCGCCACGCCATCAGCCGCCGATATCACGATGTGTTCTCGCGAGTCGCGATGGGAAGCTCTGCGGGCGAGGCTGCTGCGGAGATAGGGTTCAGTTAGGGTTGAACGCTTGGAGTAGTACCGGTCGAGTTTGCCGCCATCGCCCGGGGCCTGGGAGCCAGCCTATTGACATCGACCACCCTCGCCACCATCCGACATCCGCCCATCAACCTCAAGACAAGATGACCCGTCTATACGTCAAAGGTCGAGTACTTGGCTACACCCGAGGAAAACGTAACCAGAAGCCAACCTCATCCCTGGTCCAGCTCGAGGGTGTCTCAAACAAGGAGGAAGCGGCTTTCTACCTGGGAAAGGTGCGCAAGATGGACATCTACTTCACTCCTGATTCCATTCTCTCAACTGGTCTCCGATCCACAGTAGAACAGCACCACTCCGATCTCGCCTACATCACAGATGCTCTATCAGCTAAATTGCTGACGTTCTGACTGCGAATCATTCCCATCACCAACAGCGAATCGCTTATGTTTACCGCGCCCAGCGAGAAATCAAGGGCTCGAAGGTCCGAATCATTTGGGGCAAAGTAACTCGATCGCACGGTAACTCGGGTGTAGTTCGAGGGAAATTTTCAACGAACCTTCCTCCAAGATGCTTCGGTGCCTCTTGCCGAGTCGTAAGTGATTTCACAGCACTCAAAATCCCCAAAAGACACGGCTAAGACTGGCTTTGCTAACAAAAGCTCAATCCGCTTGATTCTTCTTCCGTTCACCATAGATGTTGTACCCCTCCCGCATTTGAAGGCTTCCTATGTTTCTTCAGCTCATGGCGGCTCGTCCGGGTGTAAAAACAAATCATGAGCAAGATCGTCGTTTATTTTCCTGAGACCAGCTTGAATCGTGGCATCCAACGGAGCTATAGTCGTGAACCTGATTTGTGATTTCGAGAGATTATGTTCCTTTCAAATACATTACGACACGGTTGAAAGCCTTCCAATGACAACCCTATACATGCGCTAGATCTGGTCCGGTGGACTGAAACATAATACAATGAGCCCGCCACTTCTCGATGATCTGCACCCAACTATGTAGATGGAGGATTCGCAGCATCGTCACGGGTTCTTAGAACAGAATCTTGAATAAACCAGCAATTGAAAGTAAAATCTAGTTGCGGCAGAGCTAAATTGTTGATTACTGCTTACAAACTTCAGAAAGCTGTACACAGCCAATATCGCACTTGATTGAGTCCAGCTGAGCGGGTCTCTAGGTATGCGTGTTGAACATAGCGTGTAAGGTGGTCCTGTTGCGTATTTGTCTGACAAACAGAACCTAGAAACTTAGCTTTCCAATGATGGTCTGAGTAACACATCCACTCCAGGAGACTGGGCAGTGACTTCAATAGCCTTGGCGCTGTCATCAACAACCATCCCTACGGAGTGGTCTTACCCAACAAAAGTCCCGATGGGACCCCAGAAACCACCCGAAATGTGGGTGACGTAGACCCAGATGAACAAAAACCCAAGTTGACTTTCAACCATCCATGAAATTGGGATGGTTTCCACTAAAGAGGCATAAGAATGTAATGCTTGAGGTAAAGAGAAACTAACTGAGAATTGCATGGAGAACAAAGCACAGTGAAGTACATGAGAAACTATGTCTTCCGACATTGTGGGAGAAAAGACATAATGAGAAAAATGACAGACAGAAAGATATGTTGTGGTGCTCATCATGAGTGTTACCCATAACACTAATGTAGCTAACAGTAATCTTATGTATGTGGATTACGTAATTGGCTACAATACCCCCACTTGACAACACTCCTCCTTGAGCTATAAGCTGTTGTGTATCATGAATCAGAGAAGAAAGATTCTTAGTAAAAATATTGGCATATTGCTCTTTAGTCAAAACCCATTCTACCAAGATTTTTCCTTTGGTGAATGCTTGATTAGTGATGTAAAATTCTTGATTGGTGTGGCGGGCCCATTTGTTTGATGTATCATTTGAACTGATTTTGACAGTAGCCTAATTGTCACACTTGATTCTACCAATGAACCAGATTCCATATATATCAAATAGTAAGTTACAGATCCATAGCATCTGCTTGGTGCAGTAGCCTAGTGCCATGTATTCTGTGTGTGCTGTTGAGGAAGCCACAGTGGCCAGACTTTTTGAAATCCAGGCAATGGGACATCCAAAGTGAAATATTATAAGGCCATAGGTTGAGCGGGAGAACTCACCCCCCCAGTATGAGTCAACATATTCAGATAAACCCTGGCTCTTTGTTTTTGGATGAAGTAGAAGTGGCTGTGACTTTGAATTCACTATATAATTCACTAAAGTTTTCAGCCATTCCCAATGTACATGCAAAGGTGCCTTGGCAAAACAAGCCAAAAAATTCACAGCAAAGCAAATGTCAGGTCTGGTGCCCACAGCTTATAGGTAGCTTAGCATCCCAATGACAGACAGGTAGTTAGAAGATTGAATACCCAGCTCCAAATTGGTAAGTGGGAGGTTTCCACTTGTAAGAGGCGTCTTGCTTGTCAAAACCCTGTCCCAGTGTTCAGAAAGTAGCTTGTTGATGAGTTTTGGCTGCAACAGGCTGAAGCCGGGTCCATACCTGATAACACTCAGACCAACAATATTAGTAAGGTTGTCCTCCCATTTTATCTTAATAGTGGCTGACAAGTCCCTTTCCAGCTGTTCCAGTATGGCGGTGTTTGGCATTGTGACAATCCCGTCATCTACATGGACCCACACCATGCCCTCACCTTTTGTCTTCTCTACCACATAGAAACTCAAGCCATACTTTGAAGCAATGTAACCAAGCAGCTCCAGGATGTTCACCAGGTGTTTACACCAGCATTGTGCGGCTTGTTTTGTCCCGTATAACACCTTCTTCAGATGACAAGCCAATCCAGGTGGAACACCCATAACCTCAGGGGCCTCAAACCATAAGTCTTCATCTATGGGAGAGTTCAAGTAAGCCGCCATGATGTCAAAGGAATGCACGGGCCAGCCTTTTGAGGCTGCTAGAGACAGCAGAATCCTCATAGACACAAAAGTAGCAGTAGGCGCAAAAGTCTTACTGTATTGGATTCCTGCAATTTGGGAGTGACCACATGCTTTAAAACAATTGGGGCTACCATCCGCTTTCAATTTCTGGGTGAACACCCATTTTGCCAACATGACCTTTGTATCTTTGGGTACAGGAGCCACATCCCAGACGCCAAGGCGGTCAAGGTCAGTGAGTTCCTCTCAAATTGCCATTGTGGGATACTTTATGGGTACCCATCCAAAACACTTCAAAAATTCATAGTTTACTTGTATAAACAATAAGGATACCCCCATATATGGCTCCACTGCCAGGAATGGATCCCAGGGCCAAATTTACCCTTGAAGAGCAGGCTTGGATATGTGTAACCCCTCTGTGTTACATGTTACACCCCTCTTTCACTCACAGGTAGGGGGGTCAAGCACCTTTACATGTTACAAGGTTATCAGGTACACATGTCACCCCTCCCAAGGGATACCACACATTCATCTGTCAAACCCCTCCAATCAGCAGGGAAGATTGAAGATGGTCAGGTGAATCAGCCAGATTGAAGAAGGTGAGTTCAGGAGGCCTCTGCTTACCCATGAATACAAAAAAATTGGACGGGTACACCCCCACTTGGGCCGTATACTCCGCGTGTTGCAAGGGACTTTGGGCCGGATGGATAGTTCATGCCGTTTTCTTGGTGAGGTGAAGCCAGGCCCTCAACTCATCTGTGATGGTACTCAAGGGATGCAGTACACCCATCATAACCTTGAGGTGTGACTGAAGCTCATCTATGTAAAGGGTTGGTTTGATGTCAAGGACCGCCAGAAGGAAGTCCTACTCCTTGCTTGTTATCGCCAATGGTCAACCTCTTTTCTCATATGTTTCCAGGTCACAGACCACATCCCAAGTAGTGTGATAGAGTTGGAGCCAGCAGGTAAGCAAGTCATGGGAGATGTTGTGACTCACAGAGCAATTGATGTGATCAAGATGGTAACCACAAAGGGCCAATAGGACCAAAATGACTTTCACCTGTCTATGGTAGAACACAAATGGCATGGCTTGTCAACCTTGTGTAGAGATCAAGATGGAAAAAGTTGGTATTAGTAATAAAATATATTACTAATAAAGATAAGACTAGATACAAAAAGAGATAGGATAAGAGAGAAGAAAATAAAATGAAGATGCTTTTATTTATTTATTTGTTTAGTAGATTTTATTTATATTCTTGGAGAATATATTTTTTAGCCAGTAAGGAAACACCTAGGCCTCTGTTACCAAAGGTAGTAGCAGGATCAATCAAATATATATTGATTGTGATATTTTTTTTATCCAGTCAATTGACATGGAAGGGTTATTAGAATCAAAACCAATTATTTATTTATTTTAGATATTTCATTCAAAATTTTATTAATTTTTAAGTATTAGGATTTGGTTTTATAGGAAGGGATGATAAGTCAAGTGGAGGGGAAAGAAGAGAGAATCACGATAATATGAGATACCTTGAATCTAAATGGATAGAGTAACAACTTACTTGAAGAGATCCAAAGTGGTGTTAAATATGAAGAAGGGTAATTGTTGGAAGTTTGGTTAGGGTGATCTGAAAATAAAAAGAACAAAGCATGAGTCAATCAAAATCTGCTAATTTGAACTAACTATACAGACACTTAAATAAGAAAAGGTTGAGATAAAATAAGACTACTAAAAAGGGTTATTTTTCAGGAGAGTTATTCTAAGTAATTACCTTTTTTATTGTTGATGTCTCAAAAGTTAATTCAGAGAAGTAAGAAATATTTTTTTGCTGAGGAGGGAGGAAGGACTGTTCTGGTCTCAGGGGTTGAATACTTTATACCAGTCCTTCTTCCAAAGTTTTGTATTGTTTGCATTGCCTTGATTTGATCCTCTTGCAAGGAAGTCATTTTTTGAAGATTGCTTTCAATATTCAAAGGATTTGGTTCTCTTTGATTAATTTTAATTTCAAGAGATCACATATCTGTGAAACCTCTAACATGTGAGGGAAATCTACATTAATTTCAATATTATGAATTTTTAAGGGCCTTAATAAAAAAACGCGGTTTTTCCGCGTTTTGACGCGGTTTTGATGCGCCGCAGCACACGCGGTTTCCCCTTTTAGACACGGTTTTTTAATAAATTTTTATGGGTTATTTTTGGAGTTTTTTTGAATTTTTAAAGTTGTTTCCTACACTATAAAAGGCGTAGAATTTAATGGTAAAAACCATTTTTCATAAAAATGAATTTTGATTATTAATTTTTTTTTTCACTCATTTCTCAATTAATTGTTTGCATATATGTATGTACCTTATTTTTTATGCTTTTGTGAAATTTTAAAATTATTTCTAGGTTTCAATGTGTGTAGAATTTAATGGTGCAATCCAATTTTTTTAAAACTCAACGGTTCATTTTTAATACTGAAATTAGACCCATTTTTTCACTTAATTTTTTACAGTTTAATTCTCATCATTTTTTGACATTTTAAATTTATTTCCCACACTTTAAGACATGTAGAAAATGATGGTAACAACCATTTTTCCCCAAAATGAAAACTATACCTTGAATGCCGCATTTGACACGTTTTTTTAATTATTTCATCACTTTTTCACTTAATTGTTTGCATACATGTGTGTACCTTATTTTCTATGCTTTTTTGAAATTTTAAAGTTGTTTCCTACATTTAAAAGTGTGTAAAATTTAATGGTAACATTCAATTCCCATAAAACTCAACGGTTCATTCTGGATACTGTAATTAGTCATATTTTTCAATTGATTTTTAAGAGCTTAATTTTCATTATTTTTTGAAATTTTGAATTTGTTTCCTACACTTTCAAACATGTATAAAATTATGGCAACAATGAATTTTCATCAAAATGAAAACTATATCTTGAATAATGCCTTTGACGTTTTTCCTGAATTAATTCTTACACGCTCAATTATCCTTATTTTTTGGAATTTCAAGCTCATTTCCTACACTTTTAAAGGTTTCAGAATTGATGGCTGTATCCATTTTCCATTCAAATAAAATTTGTATATGGTACAAATTATGCAAGAAACAGGGTACGCTCATCTATTAAGATTGAAGCTTGTATTTTGAGTGAAATTGGACTTCACCATTCAATTCTAAACATTTGTAAATGTAGGAAATAAATTTAAAATAAAAAAATGCTTAAAATCAGGCGGTAAAAATCAATCAAAAAAACATTAAAAAAAGCCTGTCCACTGCAGTATTCAGTAACAAGCGCTGATTTTTATGTAAAATGGTTGTTACCATCATTTTTATCATGTATTAAAGTGTGGGAAATAAACTTAAAATGTCAAAAAATAGTGAGAAATAACATGTAAAGAATTAATTGAAAAAAGTGTCTAGTTTCAGTATTAAAAATGAACTGTTGAGTTTTAAGAAAATTGGATGTTACCATTAAATTCTACACACTTTTAAATGTATGAAAAAACTTTAAAATTTCAAAAAAGCATAGAAAATAAGGTACACACATGTATGCAAACAATTAAGTGAAAAAGTGATGAATTAATTAAAAAAAACGTGTCAAATGCAGCATTCAAGGTATACTTTTCATTTTGGGGAAAAATGGTTGTTACCATCATTTTCTACATGTCTTAAAGTGTGGTAAATAAATTTAAAATGTCAAAAAATGATGAGAATTAAGCTGTAAAAAATTAAGTGAAAAAATGGGTCTAATTTCAGTATTAAAAATGAACCGTTGAGTTTTAAAAAAATTGGATTGCACCATTAAATTCTACACACATTGAAACCTAGGGAATAATTTTAAAATTTCACAAAAGCATAAAAAATAAGGTACATACATGCATGCAAACAATTAATTGAAAAATAAGTGGAAAAAAAAATTAATAATCAAAACTCATTTTTATGGAAAATGGACTTTACCATTAAATTCTACACCTTTCATAGTGTAGGAATAAATTTTATAATTTCGAAAAAACTCGAAAAATAAGCCGTAAAAAATTAATTAAAAAACCGCGTCTAAAAGCGGAAATCACGTGTGCTGCGGCGCATCAAAACCGCGTCAAAACGCGGAAAAACCGCGTTTTTTTATTAAGGCCCATTTTTAATTGTTTTAATTGTTTTGTGAAACCTTTAAGGACATGTCAACATGTCTCTAAGGTTGACATGACTGGCCATGAAGCAACAATCATTGCCCATTGTTAGCATGAGTCAATCAGCTGTCCAAGTAAAACACCACAAACTTACTGTAATGGATGTTAGTGCTGGCAGTGAAAATGATTGATATCTGGAGGGAGGGCCTGAATAAAGGGTTGGAAATGTTGGCAGTCGTATCAGCTGATGGTAGGTGGCTGGAGGAAGGAGGCAAGGGGCCAGCGGTTTGATTCGGTGGGGGGGGGGGGAGGGCAGGCGGGCCTGGCTGCAAGTAGAGAGGGAAGAGGGTGGAAGGTATGGAGGGATACAGGACATGTATTCTTCCAAACCTTCCAACATTCCAACCCAGAAAATTTTTATTTTCTGGGATTTGGCCAACCAGAAACACAAGCTTCTCCAGTTTAGCTGTTAATTGAGTAGCTGATCAAAGGCTAGTTGGAACAGGAACAGCCCATCACTTTTTGAAGGGGGCACAGCCTGCTTGACTGGATTCCAAAAGAGTAGACCATTCAAGTTAGCAGGTATATATTGAAAAATGAGAAAAATGATCTGTAAGTTTGCAAGGAAGAAAGGAAGCAGGGAAAAGTTGCTGATACACACCTACCACTAAATCAAATGAATAATCCAGCACTGGTGAGACACCAGAATCCATCAACATGGGTGTCATACACCTTCTGTGGTGAAGAAGATGATATGGATAGATAAAAAGCTCCTGGAAATTTATGCACATGGTGATTATTGTGTCAATATGTTTTGCACATGCCCACAAAGCACAATCAACCATTCCTGAAGGTTAGGGTGTGTAGGATTATAAATTGAAATTCAATACAGAAATCAGACCACATTCATTTGCTTCAAATGCATAACCTTTCATTGAAGTTAATCTCAAATCAACATGTATTTGTGCTTAAATTTCTTGCCCTTCTGAATTTTAATTTGAGCAGAGCCAATTAAACCTCAAAAGGGCATAGAAATTGGGGATGGGTGGGAGGGGGGTGAGAGGGGGTGAAGGAAGATCAATGATAAAACGAGACAATATAAGAGGGTTGGGATTCTTCAATGCATGATAAAGAAAAGGGTAGCCCTAAGAGAAATCATATTGTTTGTGATAGTCAGTTATATGATTTAGAAAGTTGATGATAATAAAAATATTGGGAAGCTCAAACTTACGTGTATCCCAGATAACTTTCAGTTCATTCAAAATCACTAGAGTGATTAACGAGGGGATTTTTTATAAGCAAAGAGAGGCGCTGAATATGGGGTAAGAAAAAATTTCACAAGCAAAGATGATCATGTCGATGGAGTGGCATCATTTCCATTGGAAGCAGATTGACCCTAAAAAATCAAACAGACAAAAAAAGCAAGTGTGGACGAGAAGAATTTATTGGAATCAGATCTTTAAAATCATGTCAGGACTGTTAGACATTCATTGGAAAGGAGATCCACAGACCTGTACAGGACCGCTCTGATTGTCATGAGCCGATGGCTGGTCAGCTTTCTGACTTTCCGGGCCGCCGTGACCTCTCGCACCACCTCTGCCACCCCTTCCTGCACCACGACCTCGAGGATGGGGACCTCGAGCTGGTCTTCCTCTAGACCCAGACCCTCTTTGGTTGTTCCAGGAATGCTTTCCAGGATTAGGGTTGGTCATCGAATCGGTATAAGGACGAGATCGATTCCAATCCTGAGCATGAAAAAACATCAAAAACATTACAATCAACGTCTTTTCACCTAGTTAGTTCTATCCCAAAATAAATCAACAGACAAAACACTTACATCTTCCGTTTTTTCCCAGTCCCATTCTCGACCCTGAGTTTTCTTCAACTTCCTGTCGGCCGCAGCTTTACGGGCCGCATCGATCTCCTGTTGTTGAGCACGTTGAGCTTCAAACTGATTGCACAAGTACGACCAAGAAGGAATCAGTTCACGAAATCATTGCAAAGCTTTTTTGGTGATAGCGTCGCGTCAGCGTACCGTCCGTTGGCTCTTGAGCTCAATCTCTCGGTATTCAGCCGCGTCTTGATCGGCGGCTTTCTTCTGCTCGATCAATTGCGCGTTCTTTAGTGCCATGGCAGCCATTTTCGCCTCCAAGTCAGCGGGTGAAAGTTTCTCCTGTTCAAAAGGAGAGGGGAAGTTTGAGATTGTCTCCTCTCCTCTTTAATGTTTGAAGTCTAATTCCTTTTTGTAGTTGGACGAACCTTGGGTAAATCAACTTGTCGAACGTAGGGTTGCTTCTTTTGGAGCCCTTTAGCCGACGCTTCAGCGTGCTTGCTGGTGCTTGTGTCTGGGCTTTGAATATCCTTGACGGTAACATTTTCATCCAAATTTTCGTGTTCCTCGGTCTTGTCGTTCGGGCGATGCTCCTCCTCTTCGTCATCATCTTGACTCTCCTCTTCATCGTCATCAGCCTCCTCATCTTCATCTTCATCGTCTTCATCCTCGTCATCTTCAGAGTTTTCCGAATGTGATGAAGCAGATTCGCCGTTCCCCTTGGATGGACCGCGAGAGGTCTTTTCCTTAACCTGAACCTCCTTCACATCATCACCCGTTTTATGAGCGGGAAATGATCGGTCATCATCGGCAGAACCTCTTTGTCTACGGCCTCTAGGTCCTCGAGACACTTTGGAGCCACGGCCACGTCCAACTCTGCTCTGTCCCCGAGACGAACCGCGTGGGTTTTGATGATTCGCCCGTTCGGAACCATTTTGATGTTCTGAGTTTTTGGACTCATTCTTCTCAACATCCCATTGGGATTTTTCATTATCTTTTTCTGTTGGCCATTTGTACAATTGTTTTTGTTAACACAGATGGAGGAAGTGATGTTCAGTTTAAGTCTGTGATGTGTTGCTTCCAAGAAATCTTTGAAGCTTGGATTGATCTATAATTTCTTGGCTTGGGGACTTACGGGTATCGAGAACCTTTGCAGCTTGCGAATCGACGCCATCTTTTGGTAGTCCAGGTTATACGAATCAGAAGACGACAGAAACGGAAAAAACACCATAGACGACCCAATCGACAAATGATCAAGTTCAGAACAAAGAATCAGGAAACTCAACCGATTAACTAAGTATGGTATCGATCAAAATAAAATCAGCTTGACTTGCTTACCTGCTGGGGGATTTTGAACCTCTGACATGGTTCTAGCTCGTTGAGTGTGGTTCTGAAGAAGCGAACAGTCGTCCTTAATTCCTGAAATACGATATCAACTGAAAGGAGAATGGATGATATAGATGCAATTTATATAAATATGTATGTATGTGTATCGACAAAGGAAAGTTGCTTGAGTCATAGACATGTATGTAAGAGCATCTCCAGTGTCTCCACCACTAGGGGGACTAGATTTAATCCTCCAAATCCAATAATTTAGAGCTCCTCCACCGCGGTCGCCAAATCGGGTCTGTATTTACACACTCGATACAGACCGACGAGTGACCGACTTGTCCTTTTCCCGTCGATCCTCCGGCTTCCCTCTGTATCTCATCTGAGCCCCCGCCGACCGCAGGGAGCCGGAGGGGCGGATGCCAGTGCTCACACCAGTGAACCTCCCGCCAGGAGAGAGAGACTGTGTGAAGTTAGTGAGGTCCCTCTATCAGTGTACAGCTCTACCCTCCGTGTTGTGTCTTCTCCGACCTTATGAACCGACATGAGACGACATGTGGCTTGGACTCCTATATTCTCGTGCTCGGAAGAAGATATACAGTACACACCTTGGTGGCACAATATGTAAAGTACATTAGAGTGTAAACTTGTACTCCGGTCCTTGAGCGCCAAATCGCACACACAATTGAGGAAGGTTGTACCTTGCGACAACACGGCATGGCTTCGTGTATAACCTGATCTGCCATTTCAATCGATGAAAGCCACATGACGAGGGCTTTGCAATCTTTTGTGCTACAAGATGCGGTGATGGTTTCTCCTTCCAGGAATTTTTTGAGCAGTTATACATATACATTCCTCTTCAACTGAACAGAGGAACACGATAGACCTGATAGATCACACCTGCAAAAAGCGCTCGAACTCAATCGACAGAAAGAAAACGAGGCGTGAAGAATGAAGTGGATTTCGATCTTTTTGATCGTTTGTGCTTTGGCTTGCTTCTCGGCTAGCAATGGTAAGCTCACTTCGTTTCAATTCAAGCTTCAAAGATTCCTGCGTTCGAGGTCGTTCCAACCCCTGAGCTTCAACTGATTGCGTCCATAGAGGAAGTGAAGTGAAAAGACGCTTATGTTGATCATTATGGCTCGTCCATTAACGCCCTATGTAGCTCGAGTGCTTCGTGCACTTTCTATAGCTGACATGAAGCTATATAAACCTGGAACTCGGCTTCCTTCTTCGAACACCCAGGCTCTCCCCGCTAGGCCTCTTCTCCGACCTTACAATTCGTTCAACCGAGAGAATGGTCACCCTTTTGCCCCCCACCCCCCACCTGCCCCCCATCCCAAATCTGACGGGTTACATAGTGGTAGGCATTGGGGTATGAGTCTAACCCCGTCGGGCGATGATGAAGGACGCACCTACGGTTAGAATAGACCTTCGATATCTGCAACCTGTTCAGCTTTTCCGATGACGTCTCAGCACTCCATGTCTTTCCAAACACCCCAGCTAGTAGCTATCTATCGAGTTCTCATAGTCGTCGGTCTCCTCTTTTTTCCTCCCTCATCCTATCCTCTAATTGGCACTAATATTATCGATCCGCTCAGAAATTCTTAAGGGTTGTTCTCTTTTTCCTGCTTTAATTTAAATCCGCTTGATTGATCAAAAAACCCAAGGACCTCCATTCATAACTATTTTCTATACGGCTTAATAAAATCAAACATGTATCTCACATACATGTCTCTCGTTTGTCTTTGGGAGTTTTTGAAACGACTCCCAAATTTTGGGAAAACAACTCTCAAAAAATTGGGAGGCATCAAGAGGACTGGCTCTTGACAGTCAAGAGCCTGCAGTTCTGTGAGTTGGCCTCCTAACTCCCTGAGGATGATGGGAGTTTGCAGATCCACAACCTGAGAGAAACTCTCATTTAATCAACAGCCTTCTCTCTGATCAAGTCAATAACCTGACCAGCAACGGGCCACTAGATTATTGGTGTTGTTATTAAATATTTTATTGTATTGTATTGTTATTTTTGTCCACTACACTAAAATTGACACAACACTGTTGTCTGTTTTTCTATTTTAATTTTGCAGATAACAAGACTTTACTTTTTTTTTCTGTTTTGGAGGGTGATGTTATTGTATTGTTAGTCCAGTGCAAAAATCATGAGGTGACAATAAGCCAATTCAACTTAGGCTTGTTTTTATCGCTGTTATATCTGGCAATAAAATGTCAAAGATGATTGGATTAAATACCAAGAAAAAAAAAGATGAACCTCTAGAGCCTACAAGTCAGACTTTTTTCTTCTTCTTTGCGGTAAATCTTTCAAGTTGATTACCTAATTATCAATACCTGGATCTTCTAGTCAGTCTTGAACAGCTGGAATTCAACAGACATACAAACAAGTCCTCCACTCCCCACAATGATAAGGGAATAAATCATCGGACCTTCCAGATACTGCTAGTGCACTTGAATCACCACAACAGAAGAAAACCTGATTCTTAGGCTGGGGGGATTCATGATTGAATTATTCATAGCATTTTGGACCCCATAATCAAGATCATTTCATAAGTTTGAGACCCTGGACAGAGTTTTGTTGAGTTTTTGAACAATCAACATGGCTCTAGTTTTAATCAATGTTGTGGTTGATCATATAACACACCTCACAAACCAGGCATTAAATTTTTGTAGATTTCAATTCTGAGCCCCCCACCCTGTCGACTTTTTCCCCTTCATTTCTCATCTGGACAAGCTGGGACATGAGCAGATGAATTGGGATTTGTAATCCAGATTCTGTTTGATTCTTATACAGTGCTCGGAATTTTTGAATGACAAAACAAGTTTTACTATCCAAGTTCTGTTGTTATCTTCTCAGATCTGGTTATGCCGGTCTGTGTCTGTGTCTTTCGAAGACGTATTCTTGTTTAGCTTAGTGGTTACAATCCGATCAGCGGAAAGAGCGTTCCATAGTACAATGAATGGGTGATCCGGTCCGGTGCGAAGGTGTGTGTGTGTTGTTCAGTTGAGTTATATAAATATGTGTAAAGGGGATCTTGGAGAGTGATGAGCATGTTTGGCTGACAGTTGAGTGATATGATATGATGAGTTTGGATTTCAAACTGGACTAGTGCTTATCCAACTGAGCATCCCCCCTTCCTCAACTCCAGCCATACCACATCCATCAGTCCTCTTGCTCCCTTCCATCCATTTTTTTATAAATAGTTTGACTCCTGCAGTGCTGTGTCGAAACTCTGCTTCATCAAACGAGAAAACAGTCTATTTCGGTAAGTCACCCTCCTATAATCCTATAACTACTCCCCAACAGAATCCAACAAATACTCATCATCATCATCATCGTCTCCTTTCTCTTGATCCCAGACCCAGCAGCAGCAACAGCCAAGCCAAACAATCTATCATCATGTCACTCACCCCACCACCACCCCCACCCCCTCCTCATCGGCCATCTGGACTAGCCCCCTCTGGCTGCAAGACACCCAGGCTGAACACTGCCACCCGGAGACTGTCGACGGCGAGCAGCAGCAGTACTAGCAACCTCTCCCCATCAGCCCCCTCACCCAACCAACTTCGCCAGATCCTCGCCGACATCACCAAGCAAGTCAACAACTCACCCCAGTCTCGTCTATCAACAACAACACCATCAACCTCCTCCTCCAACGCCCCTCGACCAAGCCCGATCAGATCCCATCATCCGGCCATCAACGGTTTCATGCGTCCCTCGCTGCGTGAAACCGGCCCAGTCACCCGCTCTCGATCCATGCTTCATCTCATCACCCCACGCTCATCACTCACCCCTCGTGCCACTCGGGCTAATACCCCGGTCAGGGACGAGAACCACTCCCCACTCCATCCCCCAACTCCTAGGACCCCATTCACCACTACCAACAACAACTCACCCTCCTCCTCATCACGCTCTCATCTCAGATCACCCCCTTCGAACGAGAACCAAGCAAGTGGTAGTAGCAGCAGCAGCAGCAGCCATGGCAACAGGACCCCAGGCCATCCGATTGCACCACTCCGATACCGCACCCTCTCCTCGGTCTCCTCATCACTCACCAACCCAACGAGCAGTCCGAGCGGCAGAAGTGTGACCTCCGAGAACCGCAGCCGAGCCGGCGGCCCACCGACCCCATCCCATCCCTCCTTGAGACTCCGCCCACACTCCTCAAACCCGCCCTCCTCCGCAGCCTCTACTCCCCCTCTGACGCCCGCCTCCTCGCTCACCAGCAGCACGGCCACCTCGGACTCCTCTTCCAACGAGCTCGCCTCCCATGCCGGCCTCTCGACCCCCCGTGAACGAAGGAGCCTCGACCAGGTCGACTCGCCCTCCGCTTCCTTCGATCAGAAACCTTCCCCCGCCGGCAGCATCGCTAAACGTCGGCGCAGAAACCCCAGCGGCCTCGGAAGACTCTGATCTTTCTTCCCCCCCCCTTCTTTCTTGCTTGGACATCTGTCTCTTCAATTGCTTCCTTTCCACCTCCTTCTCCGAAACATCTTTACTCATCTTGGGCTACCCTTGCCAATCTCCTACCCCATATTTTCATTCAGATCAATTTCAATTTCATTTTCCTTTTTTCTTTTTGGTTAGAGAAGTTCATTTTTATTCCAGATAATCTCGCTTTTTGCTCATAGGTTCCAAGTTTAGTTTCTCATCAATCTCAGTCTTAGTTTACGTACATAGTTAATGATTTTGGTTCTTCTTTTTTGTAAGCGTGTTCCGCTCTGATGGCGACCCTCCTCACTCCTCTTT